TATGTTTAATTTCTATTGAGGTCAAGCTTTGATCGCAAACCGAGGGGTCTCTCACTGTCGCCATACATATATATTTTTTCTAGAATTATTTGCGCATTACTTCGCATTACGTTGTATTCGCATTACGCCGCATCATTTTACATTGATTTACAAGTTCTATAGCATAAAATAATAATAACTCAGACAAGATTAAAACGTCTTAAAAAGTAAAAATGATATTGTTATAACGTCTTTAGAATGTCTTTAAGATATGCGTGAATAATTCTCTGAGAGTCAAATTTATGATTATCGATATTACATATAAATAGATAAACGCAAAAAAAAATAATTTTTTTTGATTTAATAAAATAAATTAAAGATAAGATATTGTTGATAAGAAAATCGACACTATGTTGGTATTTTGCTATAAAATGCGGCCGATTGTTTATAGATAGATTGTTACGAATAAGAGGGATGTTCAGAGAAATGTCATTTAAAACAAAAAAAGACCTAATTAAAAGAAGTTCCAATCTAAGGGCCAATAAACAAAAGAAAAAAATTCCAAATAATAACCTTTCATCTGAAAGTACGTCTTCTATAATTGAACTTGGATGTGAATTTACCCATCGCATTACTTAGAATTACATGGCGCCATGGAATTACTTGGGTAATTCCCAGCAATTCGCAATACATGTACAAATTTTTGGTGAGACACCCTTCGTCGCAAACAGTGATTCGATCATTGCACAATGCTTATGTAACGAAAAACGCCATATCTTTTATTTTGCAGACGCCTTTAATATTTGCTCGAATAATGTAAATCACGTAAGCGTGAGGGTTGTCAGTTATATATACTAATTATATATATTTGAAAATCAATTATATATATATATATTAATTGTTTTCAACTTATGCACAAAATTATTTATTTAATTATTTCTTCTAAATTTGTATAATTATCATATCTCAATTATATTTATTATTATAACATAAATTCGGTTTTTTAGATTTTCTAAAAATTAACGATTATAAATATAAGATGTATATAAACAACAATAATATAAATATAAATTGAATTATTTAATTTTTTAATTAATGATATTCAAAGTACCTCAATTGTTTTAGAAGTGTAAATATTTCATATATGCTCACCGTATAACCGCGATATAATGATGGATTTTAATGCTAACCTCATTCACGATTATTTTAATAATGCGTTCAACCATGCACTTCCGCAATCTGAGATAAATCGACTATTATTATGTGCAAAACAATGAATGTTTTATGTAATCAACCTAAATTTGTACGAGTAAATTTGTAAGAACTAACAATAAGTCAGCATTCGTATAAAATAGCAGTCAATGTGTTGAAAATAACGCATTGCTTCTCGTGAGAGATTTAAATATATAACAAAGATAAAACTTGGCATTGAAGTTAGCATTTTCTCGATAACATGGTGAATAAATGTTATCTGCTGTGTTACGCACAGATCTCAAAAATTATAGATAAACCATTAATCAACAACTGGATTAGTATGTCCAGATAGAAATGTATAAATAGCCTATCTAATAAAAAATGTGCTATAGCAACGAGAAAACTATTCCTTTTATTTTTGTATGCAAAGAAAAAGACCTTTGACGTGACGTATACGACAAAATGATATTTTTATATATGTATATATATATTATAAAATTAAATAACTTTTATTCTATATTTTTTCATTAAAATTTAATTGATATTGTTATCTTGCTTAGATTTTCATCTTATTTTCTTATTCCTGACTGATACATATTATCGTTGAATATTCTAAATGAAAAGATCATTAACTCCACAAAAATCTGAGAACATCTTCTGACAACAGCTTCTTATTGAAAATATCTTTTAATATTATATTTATTATTATATAACTATTATAATTAATTCACAATACTATTATATACTATATAACATTATTATCATCGCTGTACATTTTCATATGAGACGCGTAATTAGCATTCATCGTTTCTTATCGCAGTTAAAGAATGATAGCAATTTATCACAATAAATTGGAACTAATTGATGCTCTCTCTCTCTCTCTCTCTCTCTCTCTCTCTCTCTCTCTCTATAAGCGAAATAAAAAACAATTAAAATATGTAATGACATATATATTCTTAGTTTATCTTAATATCGTTAAAAAGATAAAGTGCCTATCGTGTTAGAGAGTCATTGTTATTCTCGTACTATAAAAAAATATTTCAACGTGCGCAGATATGTGCATGCTGGTCGAAAAATTGCGCGATTATATGCCAAATAATCATACTGCATAAATAATGTCATATCAATACATGTCAAATAGCTAACGAAACGAAACAAACGATTGATAAGTTGTTAATAATTCAAACGATGAATGTACGTATAATTCACCATTTTTTCGCACGATATAAATATTTAACGAAATCCATTAAACTAAATTATTTGACTATCGAACATTCGAACTTTAAAATTAATTCGAAAAAGAATTTTTTTAAGATTATTTGTAGAAATTTATATAAAACGAAATGCACAAAATAAAAAAAAAAAAAACATTTATAAACTATAATGCACAGAATATTTCACAAGAATTCACTAGATATTTTTGGGCGTATCGTGTCTAAATTATTTTGCATCATGCTTATTGGTCAAATAATTTAAAACTATAGTTTTATTGATCAATTTAATATATAATAGAGCGTATGTGTAGTGATATATTTCATAAAAGCCGAATAAAAAATTTCCGTATAAAAGCTTATCTTGTCATTTATCTCATCATTCTCGGGACAAACACGTCGCATGTGACCCCCAGCAAGGCGACCGTGCTTCAAAGATGGGAAAAACAGACGCGCGTGCACGTGGTCTGCGAGTGCTGCGCGTGTCTTCTACTGTTCTCTGCGTTCACTTTCCCTACCACTTTGCCATCGGCCTGCAGTATAAAAACGAACGCGCGCTGACGTGACGGGTTAGTGCCTTAGTGCGTCTCTCGCGTTGTGTAGGATAAAGGAATTGAAGATTTTGTTTTTTGCTGTTCTCTTTTATATTGCAAACTCTTTTCACAATTATAAGATTTAAATTTGTATTTTTATCGTAAATTAAAAAGAGCAATATATTTGATATAAAGCGCGATCTCGTGAATCTACGCAGTGCCAAAATTTTTTGGGTGAATAAAATTGCAGTGACTTTGAAAAATATATTTAATTAAAAGATTTTGTTATGCCGGTGGAATTGGAATCGATGGCGCCTATCGCTCACAAAGCCATCTCTCATAGCGGGTAGGCAACAAGATTTTTATTCTTTGATATTTGCTGTAATTCTTAATTATTTGTTTGTATAAAAAGAAAGTAAATCGCATCAATTATTTATGAAAATAATAGTGCACACCGTTATATATCTAGGATTTAGCAAAGTGAATTATTTATGTAATTACGACAGGAGATCTACATTATTCTTAAAAAACATTCTTGTTTATGTTTTATTTATACATTTAAACCTTTTAGAAATTTTTTATTACTTTTGTAAAACGAGATTTGATAAAGTAATTTTAATAGATTGTGATAAGTCAGCTGTGATAAGTTTGCAAATTAAAAAAAGTTATTTACATATCTGAAATATAAATTTCTAATGTATCTTAATTATGTAGTATTTGGAAATTTCAATATTTATTATAATACAATATTAAATTTATTAAATATGCTACATACGCATAGCTAGCTAAGGCTATGATGATAATATTATATATTATGTAGTACCAACAAACGCATTTTATGATACATTGGTATATCTACAAAGTTTATTTAAATCTATTAATTTGTTTTTAATGGGAAAAATACGGTTATATATTGTTCTACTTCTTACATAACATTTATAAGCACTTCATGCGAAAACGTGCTTTCAAATGTCCGATTAGGAGAGATTGAAACAGCTGATTCGCGTCTGACAGGTTTCCTCGTGCCCCAGGCACATTAACACTAATGACATAGTTCCGTTAATTTTAGCATCAGCATCATATCATCCTCTATATAATTCTACAAAAGAAAAAATACATCATTGTTAATTAATGGAATAATAATTATTTATAATTGGTGTATCTTGTTACTGGAGGAAATTACTTAAAAAAAAACAAATCTCATATTATTAATATTCACTCCTCCACATACGCTTTCTATATTCTTTCTTGTTAAGCTATCTGTCAGAATTAAATATAATTAGTGCAAAATATATATTTATTTAATACATAAATTTTACATATAAAGTTATTAAGAGAATATCTTACGCGTATAAATTTGCAATTTCTAATTTTATGTCATTATAATATCTTTTCATGACAAAGATAAAAAAAATGCTTACGTTAAAACTTTTCTTAATTTAAACATTCTGTAAGTAATATCGTAATAAATAAATATAAATACATAAAAAATAAACTTCTCGATGAAATAACATACATATTCTATCTCTACATAAAATTTAATAAATAAGCTTTATAAAGATTATTGATCTGTTAATTATTATTTGCGATTATAGTATCTACAGCATTATATAAATTTGCATTAAATGTATATTTTTGTGTAGATTATATTATTATATAAAATGTCATCTTTCACCTGCTAAAAAAATTTAAATCAGATATATTATTTAATTTGAGATGATGTCATTAAAAAATCAATAAAACATTCTAGCAAAACAATATTCCAAAATGATTAATTGAATTTGAATCACAATAGATTTTTTGTATATTATAAGTTTGTATCAAAAATATAAATATATTATGTTTGTATTAAAAATATAAATATATTAAGAACGTTGAGATTTATATGGAAAATGTTTAAAATTTTTTTTTGTTTTTAAATGAAATATATAGAGAGACTTATATCCCTTTCACATCAAGTATATTATGTATAATATCAAGCAGTAACAAGAATAATACAAGAAAATAATTATAAGAAAAATAACTATCTTTATCAGATTTCTTATGTTTTGCCAATACTAAAGTTGCCGATTTTATGTTACAGAGAGAAGATGAATAAGCTGTGCCGTCAAGTCTCGATCGAGAGCCCGAGCGTGACCGGCCGGGAATGCGTCTTCAGCTTCGATGTGCCCGTACCGGATGTGCCGGCACACGGTGCCCGCATCCGGGTGATGTGCGCCGGTGCGTGTTACCATCCCCGACGATCGTCAAGTCTGACCAGTTTGACCTCGGTGTCGAGCGGCAGCAGCCTGGCCGCCGATATGTCAATGGAAAGCGACTACCCGGTGTCCCTGCCGCATCACGGAGTGCGCGATGCCGCTCTGTTCCCCGGCTATGAGGTGGCCGGCGTGATCGAGTCATTCGGCACTGAAGTGTCCGAGGATTGCGGACTCGCCGAGGGCGACCGCGTTGTCCTCTATCCCTACGACGGTATTCCCAACGGCTACGTCGAATACCTGGTAGTGCACGATCTCAAGTACCTGATTAAAATCCCAGATACTATGTCGCTCAGCGTGGCAGCTATGCTGCCAGCTGGTGCGCTCCTCGCTATGAATACCGTCTTCGCTGCGCACGAACACGTGCAGGTACGATTAAAATTAGATTATTCTATGTATTATACTTTATTATCACTTACTAAACACATGAGTATAAAAAGATTAATAAATAAGCCATGAAGTTAAATAAAGCGAATGTTTTAGGAACAATGGCCTTCTCTTTAAAGTTGAAAGTTAATTTGAAAAATGCTTTTGATATGATTATAAGTCAATTTGCGCTAACTCTGATCGATTAAATTTAAATGAAAAAAATTATTTCTAAATTAAATCTAATTTTATACATATACTATAGAAAGAGGAAACAAAAACTCAGATATCACGATAAAATGTTACAGGCATTATTGAAAGAGAGAGGAGAGAAGAGTGTGTGCAAGATTCTAGTAGTTGGTACTGGTGGTCTTGCTTTGTGGGCTCTTAGAATTGCGTCGTATTACTTCAGCAACATGAGAGATAGAGTTACTACCACCATAGCCACTCTTAAGGATGGTGGTCTCCTGATAGCTCAAGAATTCCAACGGTAAGTTTATTCGACCGATTCAATTATATTCACGTGCAATAGAGGTCAAATAGAAATATTTTATTATTAGTCAATTAATTAATTAGCCAACACAATCTTGAAAAATCATAGTTCAATCGAATTGATGGAGAAAGAGTATTGGCAAATTTTTTATTATAAAAAAATTAACTCTCCCTGCATATTTAAGATCAATTTAAAAGACTTTATCTTTTATTTGTATCAAAGAAATACACTTCTTCAAATTTAATGCTTTTGTCAAGAATGATTCGGTGCAATCACGTGTGTATTAAATTTCGTACCCGTCATCTTATTTGATTTATTTAGCAGTAGTCGGCATATCGATTACAGGGTAAGCGTAGTACAGTGGAATGAAGACCTGTACGAAAAGCAGCTGATCGAGCGCACGATGAATGCTTGCGGTGGCCAAGTGGACGTGGTGATCGATTTCGGCACAACATCGCGCAACCTCCATCGTAGCATGCAGTGCCTCAGTAAAGGCGGCATAGTATTCGTGATCAAGGAGGTCGCCGATCGATTGTTGCCCAAGTTCAACCGACGAGCCGAAGAGCGACAACAGTCCATCAAACCAGTGGAATTGGGCACGCTAGAGCAATTACGCGAGCTCGTGCAACTGGTCGCCTCCGGCGAGATCGAACCGCCACCGCACACCGTCTATCCCGCCGAGGAAGCCATCGATGTCGTACAAAAGCTTTGCTCCTCGGAGATCCAAGGTCGTGCGATTCTTCGCTTCTATCCCGCAGATTAGAGGACTTTCCGCTAAGAAATTCCCCGCAACCGCGCGGATTAGGAGACAGATTTAATGACGACAACCGAAGAGTCAAGATGCCGGCCCCGGATGATGAGAATTGTATGGGTTAGTATGATTGACGTCCGTGCATTTAACTTGACGAGTTAGACTATCGTGAAGAAATAGTTATTATTTCGTATTGATGGCCGGAGTTTAGATTAGGCGTTGACAATGCGTATGTCATGCGAGACGATAGTTTGCAAATACAAGAATAGAGGAGGTCTTCACCGATTGTGAGTGAAATTCGACGATGCGTTAACTTAAGATTTAATCTGTCGTAGATCTCACAGGAGTCACGCGAGGGTTTACAGTACATCTTGTTACGCATAGTGAAAGAGTTGAAAAATGATCTCCCGGTTTATGGTTGATTAAACATTGATCGTTAACTCGATAAATTATCATCTTATATTAATAATGACACGACATACCACGCGAATTATATTTGACTTTGTCGAGTATTTCGTGTCGCTCTTTTTAAAGTTGTTGTCATCTTTAAAAAAGAAAGATCTCATTGTATAATGTATGAACCAAAGAGTCTTTCTCGCCAGAGAGATTTATTGATGAAATGAAGCAGAATACAGCTTTCGCTTATCATTTGAATTGATTGACATCTCTTTTAGGCAACGAGTAATTAGCTCTCAAAGATAGGCGAAGGTAATCACGTGTGAGTCAAACCGAGACATAACCGAGATAACAATTCAGATAATGATAAAGATATGAAAAAACAGTATGGAGTCACTGCGACAACAAGAAACGAGCATTATCACCGGAGAGGTAATGCTTTCTATATCTTATTAATGAGTCTCTAGTTGAATATTTTCGTCTAACGTTTTTTAGCGCAAAACGAAATCAAGGATGATATTACGATTTATGTGTGTCGAACACTTTAATAAAGCGAACGGGTAAACAAAAAATTCTATCTTCACGGATCTTTAAACAAAAATTATCGAACACGGAAACAAAGCAATACACTCTTGAAAATCTTGAATAACGCGCACGATAAGCTAACTTCATTTCCGTCGATGTATATTAAAACTTCTATGAGTTTCTTTACCAAGTACTGGCAATTGCAAAGAAACATATTATATTATAGCTAATATGAGTACTTAAAGTCGTCGGCCTAGAAATAGTGATAGAAGGATTACAGAATTAGGACGACTTCAAATAATCATATTAACTATATTATTGTTATATTTACATTATAGCTATAATAATGGCTATTTAAAACCGCTAATATATCTATAAAAATATCAACAGCACGAAAAGGATTGAAGCGGATATTTTCTCTTGAGACAGAACGAATGTTAGAAAGATTTTTCTACATAAAAATGCTTTTCATTAGTATCACTGCTGCGTGTGCGATTGTTAAAGAAGATATGTATTTCTCGTATATAAAATGTGTAATTTCAAAAGAAATTCGAATAATTCTAAGTCTTCGTTTACATTAAATATGTACCATATCATTAAACAGCCTTGTTGAACCCTATATACGAACGTGAAGAAGACTAGTTTGTATGTATATGTTAATATATAAATTTGATGTAAACAAAGAATTTTATAGATTTAGGTAACAATTCACCGATTTAATTATCCGATAAGACCACGAACCAGCGACTTTTATTCTCGAAAGCGTCATTTATCCTAAGCGATATTCTTTATATTAGCCGGCATCTGCTGCTATTTTTTTCAATTATTGTCCAACGTCATGACACGCATCCTACAATTATTTGAAATATATAGAGTCATTACTTGATAATTGTTGCAGATGTTTTTCGATAATTAAACAACGCATCGACGAACACCGCTAATGCAGTAGAAAATACTGCAAGACCCAAACAAGTCCGATATTTACGAGCACTTCAATACATACTGCAGTGATATCGCAACACAAGATCAAACGTATGTGTATATTTAGTGTCAATTCAGAAATAATAATCGGGGATACCTGTGTAAGCTTAGAATAAGTTTTCCGTTAAGATAAAGATAGAATAAATACTTTTTCTCTGCTGTAAAGTGAAATGTCGCGTAATAATGAGGTATAATCCTAAAATGACATAAAACTCGGTAAATAAACGTATCTACAAAGAACGTGAGTGATAAGACGTGAAACTGTTTCGTAAGATGTAAGTATAACAAAAACGAAATAATCGTTTCGTGAATAGATCTAAGCTTTATTCCGATTCTGAACTATAGACATTATTAAGATAAACTTCTTTATAATATACCTTTTAATCAATGAACGCACTTTTTCAGGCATTGCCAGCCTTAAAAATTAGAATTTTTATTTTGTTTTTATATATATATATAGGTGCTCGCGCAAGTCAGTGAATTGATATCGGCGCTATGTTTAATTATGCGCAAGTTTTTAATATGCTTTCTAAACCGACTGAATAAAAGCAGGTTAATTCTAATGCATTATTTTTAACTATATTTGATTTTCCTAGTTAATCTTCTCTTCCAAGGCCTTTCTAGATCCGTTAAATGATTATCATGCCATATATAGTCAATACGTTATTTTATGCTACCGTGCGAATATTTGCGTAAAACATATATTATTTCACTAAGATTATATCCGATACATATTAAGATCGTATTTAAATGGTTGCGCAAGAGTTATATGCAAGAGCGCATATCTCGCGAATTGCATTTCGAGGACAAAGGGAATGTGCGATGTTAAATGGTGAATGATTCTACACTAATCCAGATCTTGCTGTCACATCTACCGATTGTTGTGTTTCGCAAAACTAAAACACGAAATCGTGGAGATTCGAGCTTTATTATTAACCGACACAATAAGAGCATAATAAAAGTTTGTATGTAATTCAACATTTAACTCGCGTGAGATGAGTCAAATTTCATTGAATGTGTATACTCGCGTCCGAAATATCTCGTTAATCGTCGTTTATTGTTAGATCAGTATTCACTTTTCGTTTAGTATAAGTCAGTGTAAGTTCATTCGCGTTAGTTTACGACGTGAGCGCGAATAATGATTGCAATGCAGTTGCAAGTCGTTGCATCTCGAAAGACTGTTTTGTTTATTTTAAACTATATACCGGTATATTCTCTTATTTTGTATCGTATGTTTAGGCGACAGCTTAACACCGTAGTACACGCATCGCGTGTCACATTATTGTACCTACTGTTGATTGTAAATGCATTATATTACAGTAATAATATAGTCAATATATATTCTCTTTTCTTTTTTAAATAACTTGTATTTTATTTTTCTTAACAGAGTATACTAATTTGTATTGAATATTTCAGGTCTCTCGTATATGTGACTTAAACTGTCGCTGCTTATAGATTTGATATAAACAATCATGATTAAAAATCACAAATGGTGATTAAGAGATTATAATTAAAATATGGCGTTCATTGTGATGCTAATTGCTTAACTTACTTTAGAATAATTTCAAAAGAAACGGCATGACAATAGTTTATTCTTCATGAATAAATTCCATGAATAATGAACATTAGTTACTTTGCATAAATTATAAATATAGTTTACTAATTACTATTAATGATGCCAACACAATAGAATAAAAACAATAGTAGTTAATCTTAATTAAAAGACTGACTTATTTTCTTTATTGTAACATTTTTATTAATTTCTTTATCATAAATATTAGAAATAATAGTTTTTGAAAAATTCAACATATGGACAAATATACATTAGAAATTATACCTATAAAAGATTGATAAAAAATTAATACAATTCAATAATAGAAGTATGATAATGAAGTATAAAAATATATATGGATAAAATGATCATAATATATGTTTGATGTGTATAGGCTAGTTATATACTATATTAAAAGTTGTATGTTCTATTGAAACATGATTTTGTTTTGAGAACAAATGTACAATTTTCTATGCTATAACATCAACTGTTAAGCTTATACAATTGAAAATAATTTAACCATAAATGGAGAAAACATGTTTCCCATAAAGCATTATGTACATTTATATACACGCATATAACAATTACATAATAATATTAAAACTCCGTCGAGTACGTAAAAATCTTAAAAAGTGTATAAATCCCTTAAGCAAGTGCAAGTTTAAATACTAAACAAATTTAAAAAAGTTATCTTGAGTATTTCTATGGATACATCCTGATAGATCATCTTTTTTTTTTAATTCGAGACTTAATCATACCAGAACACTAATCAACACCGAAATAAAGTTTCTTTTTGTACACTTCAGTTACATAAAAAGATTTTATAAGCTACTATATTAAAACAAGCTTGCTACTAATATATATTTTCTTATGAAATAAAATCCTCAAATAATGACAGATCGATATTATATAATCAATGACTGATTCCTCAGTTAGATTAATTATCATAATTTTACAATGAGAAACTAATATAATACTATAAATATAAAACGTGTGCCCTAATTTGATTTTATTTCATCATTATGACTTTGATTTAATCGACGAGCTGTTAAATAATTCCGCGGAACGTAACCTTGCTTACCGTCGCGATTCTCTACGAGCCACCATTCGTCATTTCCTTTTTCGTCATGAGGTCTAAGAAGTCGAAGGGCTTGGCCATTAGTAATGGGTAACGTACCCGGCATGTTTCCAGCAAAATCATACATTGCGTAGTAAAACTAAAAATCAAGTTACATTAGAAAAAAGTTCGAGCGCAATCGAAAATATTAAGGTACTAACTTCGCCATATATATTCTGATAAACTTGAACTCTCGGCTTTTCTGGCACGTTGCTATAATTATGATTTATTTTCGATTCTTGTTCTAACGAGAGCAAATCTTGCAAATGCGATTGAGACGCTTTCTTGATCTCTTTCTCTGGAGAATCTAGTGTCATCAAATTTGGAGGACTGGAGCTCTTCTTTCCTGTAGCAGCGATATCCGTCGCAGTTTGATCGTGGTACTGATTTTGCCGCTGAACCGGTCTCAATTTTTGAGAAGGCAGAAATCCTTGAGTGACTCCAGTGTCGACATACCATCTCGCCGCATTTCCCATTGGATCCTGTTTCTTTATGGCTGCGATTAATGTATCTTTCGCTGCACTTACGTCGAGCGTGGAACTACTGGCAATGTCCTCAATCACCACGTATAATTTGTCCACCGTATATTTCTCTCTAAGCAGGAATCTCTGCTGTTCCGTCTGCTCACACAATTGCGATTGAACCTCGTCTATTCGAGGATTCGTGCCAGCAAATACGAAACGCGTTATTTGATTCCATATTAAATTATGATTCACGAGAAATGATTCTAGCACATCTTGCGACGATAAATGCGGCGATGTCTAACAAATAAAAAAAATATTTTTTATTCACATATTATTCCAATTCATAATTAAAAGTCAAAGTTTTATCCAAATACCTCGCAAAGAGTTAGATATTGCTTTGTAATTTTTCCATTTAATAACTTTCGAGCGTTTGCGAAAGTATTTATGCAATTAACTAAAATATTCGTCGCCGCGTCCAATAATATGGGTAACTCCTCGAGCAATTGTTGATTTAATGCTTCGTAATTACTCTTAGCGGTAAATAATTCCTCTTGTATCTGAAACAAAAGATAAAGTGAATCATAAGAGTGAAAAGATGTGTAAAAGTATCAGCGCGCGTCGTGCTCTAGTCGCTTATAATAGATAAATACTAAATTATATAAACAATTACAATTTTTGATTCTTTATTTTTCTCACTCTTAGAAATAGCAGCGTCGTAATCCAATAGCTTATCGTGCCTCTTCGCTACCAACATCGTCGGTCCTTCTAACAGCATTGCTAGAGAATGCAGCGGTGCGCTGACTCTCTTTTCGATACAGGACTTAAAATCCTGCATATATTGAGACCAAATCATGGATCTTATGTTTTGTAGCTTTTTCACCTCGACGGTCGGAGTTTCCTGATAATAATGTACCAAGAATTCGGCTATTACTTCACCGGATATAGCTTCGTCGCTCAAATATGCGGTACATTGCTCAATATCTTTAATTAATTGCCAGGTACATTTTTCTATGGATCGAAATTGCTTTTCAAGCTCCTCAAATTCGGTGTCGTTTGCGATATTTGTCAGTCCCAAACTCGCCGACAATCTTGTGCTTAACCTTGTAGACATTTTCGCTACAGAGTGCATATTTAATTTCGACATTTTGCTAATTAAAGTATTATCATTTTCTAAATATTTTGACACGATATCTCTCCTGCGTTTATACTCATTGATATAACTGGCTACGTTTGTCATAACTTTCCACGCTTCTTCTATAGCTGGTTTATCCGGATGATTATCTTCTGTACACTAAAAATGATTTTTATATGGAAGTGTTATAATGCAATATAATTTTGATCGTATACATATATGTATATGAGCATCTACTTTTGGTAAATAATCTAAATTTATTTTTGCTGATCTTGCAGAAATTGATGTATATATCAGTTTATTAACATCTCGTAAATTATCTCGTTTATTAAAATGCGTAACATTTTAATGAGATCTTACAATTCTCTCATATAATACATATTTACATTACTTTCAAAATAAACTACTCGTACACTTTCTTATGTTTTATATAATTAATGCAATTACTGACCTTTATTAATTCATATAACATTAATGGGTACTTCAAAATTCTTTGAACTGGTTTTATCAGAATAGAGCTCATATCAAAGCAAGCAACTTGATGACGTAATGTTTCAATTCCTTTGTTAAATACTTTTATGATCTCTTCATTATTTTCATACTGAAATATAAATAGATGATCACATAAATTTTCATATATATTATATGTCGATAGATAAGTTTAGTCAACTAGAATAATTATGTTTATTTTATAAATGTAAAATACCTTTTTTAACAAAGCTAATGCTGCTTCATGATTTCCACAATATTTAACATAAACATTTTTTAATTTTTCAGACATCTTCACAAAACAAGGTCCAATTGTTTGCGAGTTTTCATTGCAATCTTTCATCGCTTTCAAAATCATATCCAATAACTCCTCAGCAACATGAATAACTTCCAAAATATTCCCAAACAAAGTAACGACATCAATTCCTTTCAATCCGAGAAAACTTGGATCATGCAAGTTAAACGTTTCATACGTTAATTTTAGGTCGCGAACATATTCCTTCTCTGTTATGACCAACTCCGATATTACATTTTGTCGTTGATCCGCACGTTTTTGTTTTATATCGACTGTATTACCAATTGTAGACTCATTTTCTTGAGCAGACACTTCTACATTTGCAACAGCTTCTTTCTGTAATGGCACTCTACCTGGAGCCGGAGCTGGCGGTGCTGGTCTGTGCGGTTGCGACATTCTCTTCGGTTTTTGCTCCTCACTTACAACATCGTTCGCTTCCTTGTGTCTAATTAAGACAAAATCTTCGAATTCTTCCAAGTTCGATTCCTGCAGGTCATCTGATGAATGTACGGACATTGAGCTTAAATATTCTCGTGGGCACAAACCGATTAAGCCACTTTTGTTTTTTACATTTACCCAATCCTCGTTAGCCATTTCTACCACGGTGACAATTTCATTTTCGTGAACACTCAAATCACCGTCCATCTGCGCATCAAAGGTAAACAGTACTTTTACAGTAACGCCCGCTTCCAGAGCATCTTTTTTTGCAGGCATAACTTCAGACTGAATTTGAGTTTGCTTGATTTCCGCACAATCGACTATAATATTAACGTAAGACGATGGAAAAATGCCTTTAGTAGTATCGATCATACCCTCCATCCATTCAGAATCAATGTGTCTGGTGAGATGCACTACTTCGCCCACTCCAAAACTCAATTCGTTTGGAAACTGCGCATTAAATGGATATAATGTTATGGCGTACGGTTTAACGTCGATAAAATTCGCATAAGTGTTGCACTGTGTGTCTTTTGCATCACTGATTGTTGATAAGGTCTCTGGGAATAAATCAAAATAGCTTGGAGCAGGCTCCTCAGATAGATTCATGTAAGAGTTTATGATAGAAGTTTCACCAAAATCTTTGTAAATTGTGTCATTGTAAGATGTCGAAGAAGATGCAATATTATTCTGTGTTGTGCATGTCATTTCTCTTTGATCAACTGTATCTTGATCTCTGTCTATGTATGATATAAATCCTTCCGGAAATATGCCTTCCCTACCATCTTCTGTAATTCCACGACACCAGCCGTCATCTAAAATTTCTATAACAGTGACAACTTCTCCTGCAGTTAGGTCCAATTCTTCATCA